TCTCTAATGAATGCTGTTACAGTTCAGCTTACACTGGGGTGTTTAAGCATAAGTATATTTTGAACAAGGTGTATATATACATGCATGCCTTATAAAACTTTACAATGGTATGAGTTAGAAATCTCATTTTCTTTCCTTGTCTCACTATTTTCAGCTTCCTCCACTTTGCTTCTTTGTAGTTTAATCCTTTGGATAGCTGCACCAAGGTTATCTCCAAATATGCCACCATATGTTAAACTTTGATGAACATTTTAGCACTTGTTTGGATAAGCCAGAAACTTTCTTTTTTATGTGTACCCAGGAATAGAGAGCTGGGACACAGGATTTGCTCATGTTAAATTTTTTAACTACTACCAGGTTTCTCTCCAAGGTGACTAGCAATAAAAAATTCTTAGAGCTCTTAACATCTTTGGTGTGACTCTCCCAAAGGCGGATACAGTAGGCAGCATTTTTATACAACTATGGAACTCTTCCTTTGAAAAGCATCTGAGCCTTCAGTGTGTCATGGAATATGCTGGCAGATACTGACCAGGGGTATGCAGGACTGGAATGGCAGCATGCTGTCATGGGAGAGGGGGGGATTAGTAGCTGTAAACCTAGCTTCTTTTTAACCTAACACAATCACTCTACATAACCTTTACTGCATGGTAAATCTTTATTTGCCATCTGACCCAATAATTATTTTTCTATTATCCAAGAAAAGACAAGATGTTATTCCTAATAACTTTGTTACTTATTTTTGATAGGAGTCAAGGCTAATCTTGGAATTATTTTCCAGGGTGTGGGCAACTGAGATTTAGTGGTTATTCCTGCAAAACATGGACTTCTATTCACAAACAGCTGATATACCAAAACTGATACTCAGAATTATTTTCCAGGGTGTGGGCAACTGAAATTTAGTGATTATTCTTACAAAACATGGACTTCTATTCACAAACTGCTGATAATACCAAAACTGATACTCAGTTCTGACAGGCAGATAACCTCACAGTATTATAAAGAAGAGAATTGATTTATGAACTTTAAATTTAAAAAGTCATTAGATATCTAAGGCAAATGGCTTTGAAAGCAGAAAAAAGTTTAATCCAAAGTCAGAGTATATCATTGTAACCATTAAACCAACCTAGAATTAAAACATGACCCTGTATAGACAAGACCTAGTATTTAGCTCACTAAGGCCTAGCCCAGTGCCTGGCACAGAGGAGACACAACAAATAATTGTTGAAGAAATAAATGAAATAAAGTCAGAAATTCTTATTTCAAAATAATTATAGTGGAAGATTTTGGGTTAAAAACATAAAGGTATATAAACATCATAAATTTATCTCTGGGAAAATTTTCCTGTAAACTACCTCCTAGTTCATTGAGTCAGGCTAGAACACCTCAGTTCTAGGTGAAGGGAATGTAATGACCACCTCCTAAAATATCTGTGTATCCCTCTTTTCTGGGAACAAGCCACCACCACCACAGATGTGGACTCCTGGCAGCCAGCCATCTTTCTACTGTGTAACCCTATGGCCTATCTGTGGTTAATTGGATCAAGTTGGACATGGAGCTTAAGCTGAACCAACAGATTCTTTCTCTGAAATTTAATACTGAATTACGAAAATATAGTCCAATGATTCTCACCCGAGGTGATTTTTGCCCCCTGGGGACACTGGCAATGTCTGGAGACATTTTGATTGTCACACTGGGGTAGGGGGAGGTTGTTACTGGCATCTAGTGGGCAGAGGAATGCTCTGAAAAGATGAAAAGATGAATTTAGTAGGAATGCTCCTACTAAACAGTGCACAGGAAAGCCCCCAACAAAGGAATTATCTGGCCTCAGTGGCAGTGCAAAGCTGAGAAACCCTGCCCTAGTGTGAGCACCTGAGCAGACATCATGTAACAGACATCATGTAGCCAGGGCTGCCAGCCATCAGCTACCCTGCACATCTGGGGGAAGCAAAAACAATCAGCCTGTAGAGACAGAAAATAATGAAGAAGTCATACAGGGAGGAGTGAGCTTAGAGATGGTTTTCCAGTTCCTGATTCCAGCTCCTTCTGGAGACCTAAATACATCTTTGCTCCTTTATACTCCTAATAAATTCTGCCTTTATGTCTGAGATTGCCTGACCTTATTTGTTACTTGAAACTTAAGTAGCTTAAATTAAGAAAGAAACATTCAAATGAATGATTTTTAAATGACCTAAAAATATCAAGCCTTGGGCAGCTTAGAGTCTTCCAGGATGGAACAAACAAATAATCATTTTAATTGATTATCATTACTTTTCTTTAACAGCCATGCTATTTTCTCATAACTTCCCTAGAGCTAGGTGCTAGAGTGAGCTGAAGCTTTTTGAAAGGCAAAAGGATTTGGAACATGCCTGCACTGGGCTTTTGAGTCTTTTGGGGATCTGGACACCTGTATCACCTGCTCTGCCACTACACCTGAGCCCCACCCTTTTCCCCTCTTGCTCCAGCCTAGAGTTTCAGGCAGTTCCTAACCTCCGGGTAATCTTTTCTTCCCCTTCAGTCCTTTCAAGTTTTGAAACCAGTTCCCTACATCATATTGCCTGTTAAAAATACTGAAAGTGGTTTTTATTTTTCTGGCTGGATGCCAACTAATACAGCAATGAGTCAGAAACTATGGGGAGGGTGCAGAAGGTTGTGCTGAGAGGTTTGGTTGACTAAATAATTGAGGGCCAGATTATTCAGGCTCATGTTAGGAAATGACCAGATGTTTGAAATTTACCATAAGAGCAGTGGAGACCTATGAAAGGTTTTAAAGACATAGTCAACTTGGCCACTTGATTTTTAGGAAGATCACATGACCTAATACAGAGAACAGGTTTGAGATGCCTAAACTGAAGGCCAGGTGTCCAATTAGGAAGCTTTGGTAGTTATCTAGGAGAGAAGTTGGTGGTGGTCTATTCTAGGGTACTGGCACTGATGTTGAAGACAAGGGATTGGACGGATTTTTATGAGGTGGAACGGCCAGAACGTAATGGTGTATTGTGCAGATTAAAGATGGCTACAAATCAACTGATACTTTTTACATTGGTAGGTGGGTTCTGTAGCTCCTCCACTTGAATTTGGGTGTGCTCTGTAATAATGGTTTTTAGAAATAGAATATGGCAGAAGGGACACTGTGCCAGTTACTGGGCCTAGGCCTTAAGAGATTAGCAGCTTCCGGTTCTCATTTCTTGGAACTTCTACTCTTGGAACACAACTACCATACTTTGTAAAGTACGAGACATATGGAGGGGCTAATGCATGCAATTGCTCTCGGCCAGCATTACCTGCCAGTCATGTGAGTGTGCTGCCATCTTGGATGTCCATTCAGGTGAGGCTTCATCTGGCCCCAGCCTAGCAACTGACCACAGCTGCATCACAGACCCACACAGTTCTTCCAAGACCCATTCAATTCACAGAACCAAAGAAATAGTAACATGTTGTTGTTTTAAGCCAGTGGGTTTTTTTTTTTTAAGGCACTAAGTTTTGGGGAGGTTTTTAATACAACAAAAGAAAAGATGAATATGGCCATCCTGCCCAAGCAATCTACAGATTCAATGCAATCCCTATCAAAATACCAATGGCATTTTTCAGTGAACTAGAGCAAATCCTAAAATTTATACGTAACCATAAAAGACCCCAAGTAGGCAAAGCAGTCTTGAGAAAGAAGAGCAAAGCTGGGGGTATCACACTTCTGGATTTCAAGCTATAGTATAAAGCAATAGTGATTAAAACAATATGGTATTAGCATAAGAACAGACCCATAGATCAATGGAACAAAATAGAGAGCCCTGAAATAAACCCATGCATATATGATCAATTAATATCTGACAAAGGAACCATGAATACACAATGGAGGAAAGACAGTCTTTTCAATAAATGATGTTGGGAAAACTGGACAGCCACATGTAAAAATAAAAGTAGATCACTAACACCATACCCAAAAGTAAACTCTAAATGGATTAAAGACCTAAATGTAAGAAATGAAATCATAAAACTCTTAGAATAAAACATAGGTAAGGATCTCATGAACATGAGCATGAGAAATTTTTTTCTGGATTCATCTTCCCAAGCAACAGAAACAAAAGCAAAAATAAAGAAGCAGGACTATGTCCAACTAAAAAGCTTCTGCACAGCAAAGGAAATCCCCAACAAAACAAAAAGGCAACCTACTGAATGGGAGAATATACTTGTGTATGATATATCCAATATGAGGCTAATATCCAAAATATATAAAGAACTTCTACAACTCAACCCCCTCCAAAAAATTCCAATTAAAATATGGGAAGAGGACCTGAATAGACATTTTTCCATAGAAGACATACACAGGGCCCACAGGCATATGAAACGATGCTCCACATTACTAATCATTCCCAACAAAACAAAAAGGCAACCTACTGAATGGGAGAATATACTTGTGTATGATATATCCAATATGAGGCTAATATCCAAAATATATAAAGAACTTACACAACTCAACCCCCTCCAAAAAATTCCAATTAAAATATGGGAAGAGGACCTGAATAGACATTTTTCCATAGAAGACATACACAGGGCCCACAGGCATATGAAACGATGCTCCACATTACTAATCATAAGGGAAATGCAAATAAAAACCACAATGAGGGCCTGGGCGCTCGGCGGCGGGGCCGTCCTGACGGCGCTGCCGGCGCCCCACCCGGGAGGGCCGGCGCTGGGCGGGCAGGCAGAAGCTGCGCCGCGGGGAGCGCCGAGGGGCCGGGCGGGGTGGGCGACTGGCGGCTCCCGGCGCGGGAGGGGACGGGGCCGGCCCGGAGGCCACCCGAGAGCCGAGGGCCCCAGTCCTGGAGACCGGCAGGCAGGCGGCGAGGGGGCATCTCCCTGCCCGCTGGGATTCCGGCCGACCAGCCCGCGGGACCCGTCCTCGCGCTCTGGCCACTGCCTTGCTGTACTTTTCTCTTTCTTTTTTTCCCCTTTATTTTTTTCTCTTCCCGTTTCTGCCCCTCGCCTTTCTTCTCTTTTCTTACCTCTCTCTCCCTCTCACTGTCAAGGAGGAGATGCCGGCTGCCTTGTAGGGAACAGAGGTCATTTAAAAGACCATGGCAGCCGTCACGAGGTGCTGTGGACCCGGGCAGCAGTGACAGAGTAGTGAGAGGTTGTCTATTTTACAAGATGTTTAGATTTAGAGAAGATAAAACTTACTGATGAATTAGATGTGAGAGATGAGGGAGGGACATGAATCGGTGAGAGCTAGTAGTTTTTTGGACTAAGTAACTTTGTGAAAATGTGCCACATTTTTCTTAGAAGGAGATTATGCAAGAAGGAGCAGATTTGGGGGATCCGTAGTAGACAAAAGTTATGTTTGACCTCTTTTGGGTGTGAGTGAGTCTCCCAACACCAACCAAAGACGAAGACCAGCCTAGGGGTGGCAGAGCAGGTGGCAGTTGCGGTACACCTGCGTGCTCCACTGAACCCACCACAAATACACCTATTGCCTCCCACCCACTGATTTGTTGACACCTGTATTTACACAGATTCATACTTTTGGCTTAGAATTTTGTCGTCTGTGTAAACGCATCCAAGTGTACCAGGGAGTGATAATACTTTAAACCTACCAATGCTCTTGACTTTGCGTTGTGTCAAATCTCTTCCGAAAGAAGAATGGGGAAGGCGGCAGGAGAGAAGGGTGTGCTGTGAAATGGGGTGGAAACAGCCCCAGGTGTCCGAGAATGGGTGCACAAGGCTTCAGTTGGCTTTCTGGTGCACAACTTTGCCTGCCACCCTTTACTTGCCTGAACCCTCTCTGATGCTTTTCACTGGGACTCACAGACAAGCACAAGTCACACTGTTGCACTTTCGTTTAAAATATGCCCCCCTAAAAAAAAATGAAGGGATATTAACAGCGAGCTGGGAAGATGTTCACAGGACATTTTATTCAGCATGATTGATTTGCAAATGCAAATCCAATTACTCATTGGGGAAAGTCAGCTTGCCTGCACTCCTGTGCTCTACAGAGTAGCTGCCTGGCAAAGGGATCTGGACACACCTCCTTGGAGACAAGAAGAGAGAAAAAGCACTCACACTTGGAAAGAAGTCCCCTTCCCCTGTGAACTGCCAGAGTTCATGAAATGCTAGCCGTAACCCTTCTGCCACTGGAACCAAGTACACTTACAGAACCAGGGCAGCCCAGCTTAAACTGGGAGAAAGCACACATGCATAGACTCACGGAAGTGCTAAGAAATGTATATAACATTGGCTAGTGATAGAGAACTGTTTGGCTGGAGGAGAAAAAAAGAGGTAAAGCAGGTCTTGAGCGCAGCTACACGCAGAAAGGAAGCTGGAACGCTGCCATCAAATCCAGAGGCCTGAAAATCCAGGGTGTGTTCTTCTTGTGACTTTCACTGTATTTATTTTGATGAATAAACAGTAGGATTAATAGAGAAATTGAATTGTAACATTAAGAGAAACTAAAGTTCCTCTTTCCAGTCTCTCATGATATAAATAGGGAAATGAGACCCAGATATGTGAGATCTATACAAATTAGCTGGAAGTGGCCAGGTGCCAGGACCCAGGTCCAGAGGGTCAACTGACCAAGGTCTAAGACACAGGTCTACAGAACCAAGTGAGCAGGGCCTGGGACCCAGGTGTTGTGATTCAAATCAGTCTCTATTACACCAGACTACCCTAAGGAAATTTAAGTTCCACCCATAGAATTTTTTTAAAGCAACAAAATTTATTATTTCAAGGTCTCAGTTGCAGGAACTGGAATGCAGATCACAAAACTACAATAAAGATGTTGGCTAAGGCTGAGGTCTTACCTGAAGGCTTGTTTGGGGAATGACCCGCTCCCAAGATCATATGAATTTTAAAGCTAGAAGAAACCAGGAAATATAAAGGCAAACTAAGAAATATAATTAACTGGATTAGTCAGGGTTCTCTAGAGAAACAGAACCAACAAAATGTGAATATGTACATATAAAGAGAGATTTAAGGAATTGGCTCATGTGATTGTGGAGGTGCAAGTCCAAAATCTGCAGGTTGAAGATTCAGGGAAGAAAGAAAGAAAAAAAAAACAAAACACAATGATACCACCTCACACCAGTCAGAATGGCAAGTATCGAAAAGACAAGAAATAAGTGTTGACAAGGATGTGATAAAACGGGAACCCTTCTACACTATTGGTGGGAATCTGAACTGGTCCAGCCACTGTGGAAAGCAATATGGAGGCCCCTCAAATAATTGAAAATAAAAATACCATGTGACCCAGCAATTCTACTTCTGAGAATTTACCTGAAAACAAAATCACTGATTCAAAGGTATACACATTCCTATGTTCATTGCAGGATTATTTATAATAGCAAAGATATGGAAGCAACCCAAGTGCCCATCAGTAGATGAATGGATAAAAAAGAGGTGGTACATATATAAATGGAATATTACTCAGCCCTAAAAAAGAAGTAAATCTTGCTTTTTGCAACAATATGGATGGACCTGGGGGTATCATGCTAAGTGAAATGTGTCAGGCAGAGAAAGACAAATACCATATGATTCATTTATATGTGGAATTTAAAAAATAAAACAAAAGAAATAGACTCACAGAGAAGAGACTGGAGGTTCCCATGGGGGAGGGGAGTGGGAGGATGGGTGCAATAGGTGAAGGGGATAAAGAGGTATAAACTGAAAATCATAAAATAAGTTAGTCATAGGAATGAGAGTACAACATAGAGATTATAACCAATAATACTGTAATATCTTGGTATGGTAATGGGATAACTACAGTTATCATGGCAAGCATCTACTAATGTGTATAATTTTTGAGTCACTATATTGTACATCTGAAACGAATATAATATTGTGTATCAACTTTATTCAAAAAAAAAACAGGAATATATGTGGATGGGGAGAAAGTAGTCAGATTCAAGGATGATATCCAGGATTCTGGTGTGGGTCCAAGGTGGAGTCACTCCTTGCTGAGATGGAATTTGGGAGCAGATGAATAGTTTGTGAGGGTGTGGATGTGGGTGTAGGTAAATTAATCTGTCACAAACTAGGAAATCTTTATTTTTGGAACTTCATTACATTTTTCTGTAGATATCCTATTAGGTTGTATCTTCAGCATTAGCTATCCAGATTCTAAACAGATTTATAGTGTATAGTTCCCTATCTGTAAGACCCTCTAACATACTAATTTTAGTGTCTTCTGCTATAAGCAAAACTGTGTTTCTTAAAAGTATCAGGAGGAAGTGGCAGCTATTTTATTACATTTAATCCTTGTTGATATAGCAACCAACTTCCAGGTCTCTTTCAGCCACCAGATATTTACTTACATCTGCCAGGGGCTGAGCACTGTTATGGGTGTTAGGGCCATAACTGCTCCAGATGGGTACTATCCTGCCCTCCTGGAGTTTACATTCTGATTGACAGGCGGACAAAAACAAGTAAAGAACACAGTTAACAATTTGATGGAAAGCAATGAAAGAAGCAGGGTGGGGAACCTACTTTAGATAAGGTGGTCAGGGAAGATTTTTAAGCTGAAATTTAAGGAAGTGGCAAGAACTGGCTGTGAGAAGAGGTAGCAGGAGGGGAAGTGAGGGTTAGTAGCTGTGGGCCCCACAAAAGCCCTGGGAGGTTAAAAGCTCAACCCGCTTCTAGGAACTGAAAGGCCAGTGTGTGTGGAGTGTAGTGAGCAGAAGTATAGCAAGGCAAAGCTGAGGAGTAACAAAGAGGTTAGATCAAACAGTACCTTTTAGGCCACATAAAGGGATTTGCACTTGATTCTAAATGCAAAAGATAGGCAAGAGCAAGAACATGATCTGATTCACATTTTAAGATAATGGTCAGAACAGACAGGAGGGGGAGACGCTGAGAAACTGTTGCAGTGGTTCAGTACAGAAAAAGATGGCCTGGACTAAGGTTCACTATGATTTTCTTTTCCTGGGACTCAGTTTCTTCTTCTGTAAAGTGCAGGTGGAGGCTTGGTAGAAACAGATCAGCAGTTATTCCCAAGTCCCTAAGTGTAAACAATGCTCCCACCAGACTCTTGCTTTGTATAAGGATTTGAAATATTTTCAAGTTTTATGGTGTTTTCCACTCTTCTCCACCCACCACCTACTTCCTCCAAACCTAAGGTTTTACTCTCTCAGGAACTGCCGTGTGGCCTTTGATGCACTGAATCAATTAGTGGTTTTACCATAAATGGTATTTGTTGTCTACCAAGTGCCTTGGCAACTGGAATAGGTGTGGTGGCAGAGTCAGTAGCAGGCACAGAATTTTGGATGGACTCAATCTGTTGGAATGGCCCAGTGGATTTTGTTTTATCCTTCTGCAGGGCTTTAGGACTTGTACTACTAGCAAAACTAAACTTCAGTGTAAGTTCAGGTATATGATGCTTTCAAGTTTCTCAATAACTCAATCTGAATATTGATAATATTCTTCACTTAAAATAGTAATATAATTCAGCCGATATGCCTAACAACTTCAACATTCAGAGGCTAATGGCAAAAAAGGACTGTCGTTATTGCTGTTTTTAAAAAGTGGGTTAATATTTCATGTCAGTTCAAAAATATAGGTAAAATCATTACAAAAATAGCCCGAGATTCCTTCCTTTGGTCATGTGAGAACACACGTGAAAAGACAGCACCGACCAGGAAGCTGGCTCTCATCAAACACATCTTGATCAACAAACCTACACAATAGTGAGAAATTTTAGGCATATATGTGGTAACTCCTGATTACTTGGAGAGCAACAGCAGGGCCTTCTTAAGACATCATCTGCTTAGCTGATAGAAAAGTCAGTTACACCCACTGTTATATAATCAGAAGTCTAGTAAACTGTGTGTTGATTTTTGTCTACTCCCCAAAATTCACTTGGTCACTAACGTATTCAAATCCGATTAAGGTTGTATGTAAATTTAAATTGCTTTCTTCCCTCTCCCACCAAAAAAGGTCCATTGTCCACTGGGGTGAAGGAACATTGCTATATTCTTTCCTGCATCTGCTTTAAATGAAGGAAGATCTGTCTACCAAGATTCGCTATGAGCTTTATCCAGTCACATTTGTGAGTAAATCTTGAAGGAGATACCTACTCTGTTGCTTGCTTAGTATGCAGACCTATCAAGGGCTGCAAAATTG